GAATGAATATGCACGCTAAAATTCCATTCCTGCAGAGGTAAAAGCAGAGGGTGGGCAAAGAGTACCATAACTAACTGATTGGGCCTGCTAAATTTGCCTGTATTTTTCAAGGACCCGTACCTACCGTTCACCCTGCGGGTGAGTTCACATGTTGCCCTAAGACATCATAGATTGATTGTTCACTTGCTGACCTGATAGACAGTCATGCTTGCATGACTTGTCTCCCTGCACAATCCTCCAGCCACTACCAGGCAGCTCTGCAACAGAACTCTGCGTTTTCTTGGTGCTTATTTCTACAGCTGGTCTCTTGAACTTGCCAGTTCTTGTAGGAAACTCCCCATTCCTCAGCATCAGAGCACCAAATGGAATTAAGTTTCCAAACTCTTTTGAACATGGTATTTTGTTCCCAGTTTCAGGGAAATGGCACTCTGGTGGAAGATAATAATAATACCCCTCTGATATTTAGTTCAGCAAGCTGATCTCTCCCTCTTGTCAATTTTGCCCTTAACTGTTGGCCTTCCCTTGCTGGTAAGCTCTGCTGGGCTGCTTCACCTTACACTGAAAGAAGGACGTCTCCTTGCCAAGGGTCTCCTCTCCAGCCGCTTTTGGCTTCCCCCACCTCTGCTTGGGGCTTTCCTCTGTTAAGTGGCTGTTGCAGGTACCCATCCGGCTTACAGAAAATGTGTGGGATCGCTGAATCAATGCAAGGCCATGCCAAACCCACCAAGTGGGGTGGAAGCCTTGTTGTTAATGGGGCGGGATAAACAACCTGATCAATAATAGCTCTAATAAACAAACAAAACAGTGCCCATGTCGAGGAACAGAGTTGAAAAGCTATGCCAGAGTCCTGGCGGCTGTCAGTATCTCCTGTGCCGTTGGCAGGCCTGGAAATAAAAATGAAAATAAGAAAGTTGCCGCTGAGGGTGGGACGTGCTCCGAGGTCCATCCTTCTGCATTTCTGGGTCTGCAGAAGGAAGGCCTCTGAGGGGGAAGACGATGGCGTCTAGGAAGCAGCAGCAGTCAAATGGTGACATAGTCTGTGAGTTTGCAAGGGCTCACAAGACGGACCTGCTTTATTGGATGGCTGCATTGGTCTTCAATGTCTCCTTTCTAGTTCGTCGTGCCAACAATTACCCTTTTTCCATTGTCGACATATTGTTTGCAGTACATGACTCATCTTTGTTTTACAAAATGGGTGCTTGCAAAGGAATATACTTTTTATTTTAGTGCGAGGATGGCGCCACTGTGATATTTTCCCTAGGCGTTTGGAACGGATACATTGATTATATGGTATAGATTAAAAATAGATTTTCTGGTAGGCAGGAGGAGCAGAGTGATACTGTAAAGAGAAGGAATGTGAAGGAGGCATTAGGAAAAATGCTTATTCCAATCGGACATGCTGTACATTATTACTATATTTTATTATATTTATTCCGATTCCTAATACTGGGACTCAGGGTGGCTTGCAACATTAAAAATGTATGCGTTAAAGCATAAATTGAAATACACAAAAAGTTAAAATACCATTAAATCAACAGAATATTAAAATTATATAACATATCAAAATTAAAAAGGCTAAAAATATATAGGCTAGAACTCGTCCAATGCAGTCTCACAGGTCCAGACTATTCCCAAAGGCCTGCTGGAAAAATAAGGATTTTGCTGCTTCTAAAAACACAACAGGGAGGGTGTCAATCTCGGCTTCTTGGGAGGGGAATATGAGAGCCTTGGTGCAACCCCCGAGGAGGTCTTCTCCTGCGGTCCCACCAAGCGTGGAGGTGGTGGGGCTAAGAGAAAGGCCTCTCTGGAAGACCTTGGGGTGATGGACAGGCTTATAAGGGAGGATAAGGGCTCGTTGGGCCTGATATTGGTGGTGATAGTTTTGCAGCTGTGCATGTGGCCGATAATTGGAGCAGCACTGCAGGAACGGCAAACCACACACGATCTCTTGCTTGCTTGCTTATTCTGGGACCTGTGAATACGGCCCTGGTGGCACTTCCGCATTCGTGCCGGTGGACCTCGTAGTAGGTCAGTAGTCCCATGTGGACTAGCAGCAGCAGCATCCCCAGAGAGAGAGAGCACGCAAAGAACCTCTGCCCAGCAGAAGGGCGAATGACTGAGCATCATCTCGGAGGCTTTGGAAGGTGCACGGTAGAACAGGCCATGGATCTTAAGATATGGCTTAAATATGAGAGTGGTACTGCTACTTGTCGGGACCAGGACTCAGCCAGCAGAACCTGGAGGCTCTTTGGAGGCACTTCAGGGAGCAGCTGAGAAGCCATCATGGGGTGCAGCTGGGCCCCCTGAAACCAGCAGGCGAGGCCTCGCCGCATGGCTTTTCTTCCTCCGTGACGTGCCGGCACTCTGGCCCTTTTGCCACGGTGACTTGCTCGGTGAGGCGGGCTCGCGCCTGCCTGCTCCAGCCCTCCCCGCTCCGTCCCTGCCTCGTCCAGTCTGGCCCCTCTCGCCACCACTGTGCTCCAGCCCGCTCCTGTCTGTCCCCACAGCCCCCCTCCTCCACCTTGCCCGCCTTTGCTTGACGGGCACTCAGCCTTCCCTGGCACTCAGCTGCTTCCCTGGCAGTGTTTCCAGCCTGTGCCTCTCTCTCGTTCGTCATTGCAATGCCTGCTGCTTTGTTTCTGATCCTGGACCGTCAACCGCACTGCCAGCCTCTGGCCCTACGGAGCCGCCGATCCCAGCCTCGCCCCAGCGCCCTGGTCATGGCGTCCCGCCTGCCTCCATCAGCTGTCCCCGTCCTGGTCCGCACGTGGTGGGCGTGTCATGAGCGGAGCCAGCTGGAGCCGGGGGTCAGACTAGATGGCCCCTTCTGACCCGCTCTGTTTCTGTGTTCTTTGTCCCTGTGCCAAAGAGACCAGAGGCAGGGCGAGCCGAAGGGCATCCAGCGCCATCAAGAGCGTCTTCTGGCTGGCCCCTCCTCCGTGTGTTCCAAATTGCTACTGTCAAGGCTTTTGCTCCCCTCATCTGTAATCTTTTCCACCGCCAGCAGGTTCAGGAAGGGAACGCTTGACACTCTGCAATATCGTTTATTGCTTTCCAGAAACCTTCCATACCCTTTACTGCCTCCCAGCCCATTGTCTAACAATGGCCTGGCGTGCATTTCTGCTCACTTCCCTCTCTAATGCACAAATGCACATTATAGACGTGTGCGAGGAAGGATGCATCCTTGCTTCCCTTTCGTTGTTTCTTGTTTCTCGACATGCACTCCCTCTTTCCTGATCAAAGAGGGCCGGAAGCGTCCCAGGTGCCCGGCTTACTGGGTTACGGAAACCTGAAGCTCCACTAACGACTGCGAAGTCTCCTTTGCCAGTTCTTTGCTCCGAAAAAGGACGGCAGTGCTCAAGAAGGGAAGACAAGGGTTCAGAATTCTGTCCCTCTGCCTCCCTCCTATGATGAGAGGAGAAGCTCAGTTACTTCTGTTATTTCTCTCTGTTATTTGGCAGTGCCAAATTAAATTTCTCATGGGTTTGGGCTCAGCATTGTCTGAACTTCTTCTTTTAATGCTTCTTGTAGTGGATCTTTGATTCAGAGCAGTCATAAATTAACAGAGTAACTGATATGAAGAAGGGTGGTGGGGAGAGAGAGTGAGGGAGAGTGCATGAACCTGGCATGAGGCAGCAGAGCAGTATTAAATAATGCGTAGTTTAGGGAGAAGTTTTTTGGGAGTTCTCGTGCCCATTTCTCATAGATTTGTCTCTGTCAGTAGGCAAAATGCAGACAGATTTCCAAAAATAGAATTCCAAGTATTTGTTGGCTGTTGCCAGAAGACTGCTTTTGGCTTTCCCTAATTTACCAAATGAAGTTTAAAATAGGTTGATTATTTATTTATTTATCCAAAACTTTTATATGCCATCCACACAGGTGTCTCGGGAGAGCTTGCAAGAAGAGCAATAAAATAATACAACCAACAAAGCAAACACAGCATTCAACCATCAGAATAATGCAGATAAAAATGCCAGTTAAAACCAATTAAGCATTAAAATAATGGGGAAATTAAAAGGTTTTCACCTGGCGCTGATTATATTTATATCCTGCCTATTTTCCAAGGTGGCTCACATAATTCTCCATTCTTATCCTCACAATAACAGCCCTGTGAGGTAGGTTGGGGTGAGACTCTGGGACTGGCCAAAGGTCACCCAAGGAAGTTTGTGGCTGAGTGGGGATTCGAACCTGGACCTCCTGAGTCCCAGTCCTGTGCTCTTAGCCACTACACCACCCTGGCTCCAAAGGGAAGTAGAATCTAAAGACTCGCTTGCAGTATTTCTCTGTAGTATGAACACCTTGTGTCGTAATCCTCTGTATTTGTTGATGGTATGGTCAGTAGCCAAGAGCTGGGCAGGACTGTGAAGGACGGGGCATCTTGACGGTCTTTCATTCGTAGGGTCACCGTAAGCGAGACAATTTGACGGCACATAACAAATGCCAGTGGCCGGAGCTGCATATTTATGAAGATGGACACAGAAGCATGGGAAACTGTTCTATGCAGGCCTCCTCCTCTTTCGATCCGAATTCGTAATAATCCACAATGCTGACAGAGCCAGTTTAGTGGCCCGTGTTTTCTTTGCAACAGTTAGCAGTGCTTGGAGTTTTGAATTAATCACCAGATGTATGTAGAATCTCAGTTTTCAACAGTATCTAACACCTATCTCTCTCCAAAGGATGCTAAAGTATTAAAAGACTACTGTCCTATTATATAGGAATGCATTTTTTCCTGCTAAGTTTATGATTATTCATTTTATGCAGGATTATCCTATGTCTTGTACTGCACAAGTAAAGAAACAATAGCCTCTTTTGTGATGAGGACCAGGGATAGCACTGTCTAATTCCAAACAGCCCACTCCTAGTTCCTCTCTTGACTCTTGGATGTCATCAGATTAGAACATTTTAAACTAGGGATCTTTATATCTATAGGCTTACCTGCATAGCAATTAATCCTGAAACCAAATGGCTTTAGTAATCAATTCTAATGTTTCTCCCCGCAGGCGGAACTCACAGGCATCAAGTGGCGTCGGTACAACTTTGAAGGGCATGGAGATTGTGGCCCCATTATTTCGGCCCCTGCTCAAGACGATCCGATTCTTCTGAGCTACATCCGCTGCCTGCAGGCGAACCTGCTGTGTGTCTGGCGTCGCGATGTCAAACCGGATTGTAAGGAGTTATGGATCTTCTGGTGGGGCGATGAGCCCAACTTAGTAGATGTAATACATCGCGAGCTGCACAGTAAGTATATTTCTCCTCTCCTCCTTCTGCTGCTTTAACTTTGATTTTGCAGTGCTCCTTTTTGTCTTGGAAATGATTTTCAGAATGTGTATACACAAAGGCATCTAATAGATGTAAAATCAATTTTGAAAATGACGTTCCGGACCAGAAATGAATTGAATGTGGAGATACTTGTGGTTTGGAATGCGGGCAATTTTGAATACAGATTCAGATGTCAGTACTGAACTAAAATAGATAGATGAAGCCCAGTGACCATATACGTCCATTACTTAAGTACCTAATTGTCATTATTTAAATATTCTTCCTGCATTCGTTGATAAACTTTAATTAGTTAAGCTTCACTCTCAGTTCTGCTTGGTATCTTCCTTTTTTGTGTGCCTTTTTGCCATCCTTTGCTCTCTGCTTGTATGCCATACAATATATTTAATCAGATTTCTGGCACACCTGACATGGTTTGGACGTTCTGTCAGATTGCTCTGTGTAGGCTCTGGCTGGCTGGAACACAATGCTTTTAATACTGATGGTGTTGATGAACCCAGTAGTAGTGCTGAGCTGAATCCACAGTCTGAGGGAAATGCATTCCTTCTCCTTTGAGCAAAATGGGTGACAAGGATGTATTTCATGGTCCAGGACCAAGATGTGCCTGAGGCTAAGCTACTAGCAGGAGATAACTCTGAGGTTGAGACAGATCTCATTTCTCAGCCTTCCTAAGTGAGGTCTTCCAGCTCCTTCCCTCCCGTGAGCAAGCGGGCCCTGGAGAATATTCCCAGCCAGCTCTTTACTCCCCCGTTTTGTATCGTACCGGCTTAACAAGGAGCCAGCAGGTGTGGGGAAGCTCTCAGCCAGTGGTAGGTTCACTTGCCTTAGCAGGCTCCCACTTTACATTGTCCCAAATCTGAGCGCACGTTCTGTCCAGGATTCTGAACCTGCTGAACGGCCACCCATCTCTGTTACCTCCCTCTTGTTACAGCTTTTATCGCTTTCCTTGCTTTATATCTGAAGAGCAGGGCAAAAACAGCATCCCAAATAAAGCAAGCAAGGTGTGCAATCTGCAGTCTGTATGGTCAGAATAGCCAACAGCTGGTGGCAGAAATAAGCACTGCTCTGGAGAGTGATTGTGTTCTGGCGATAGTCCCCCCTGCTTAGCATGGTTGCTGTGTCTTTACCTTGCTCTGTAACCTACCAGCCGTTGTCATTGTTGTGTCTTACAAAATGCATGTCTTCACGAATGCCAGACCGTTGATTTGGCAAGGAAGCTGAGAAATCTCGGAGCAGGGACGATTTCTGTGTGCCTCTTGGCCTATTTTTTGCAGGTAGCAAGTGTTCATGTATAATTAAAGGCATGGCTCAGAAGTGCCGCATCAAGCGATTCCATGGATGTTAATTTTTTATGAGGCACCTGTTCCGAGTGGAGGCATGGGTGACATTCCTGCTTACCCAGCTAAGCTTTAATAATATGTTTTCTCTTTATGAAATCTAGCTTATTTATTTTTCAAGTGCAGTTTGGAACTTAAGTATGTTCAGTGATCATCTTATTGGAAGGAAATTGCAGCTTGCCATTCCCCTTGCTGCTATAAGGACGGTGTCTTTGGCTTCCGTGTAATGCTTTGAGTAACTGAATTATAGTACTTGCTGTTTCTGGCGTGAACTGTAAATTGAAAAACATGTACCATCTCGGGGAGCTGGAGGGGTTGTTGTACATATGGATGCGTTTGTATAGCTGCATTTCATATGTTGGAAGGGAATCTATCTCCAAGAAACGATGATAGCACCTGTTTTGGTTAGGATTTACATAAGATAGCAAGAAGGTTGTTGCTCAGCACTTCTGCTAAGGAAAGGGGAAGTTTCCAGAAATAGATCTGATAGTGGAGATGTCTGGGAACATTTTGTCAAAAGGGAGAAGAACAGAAACCTTAACTGAAACAAACCTGGCCTATTGTTAAATTTGCTGCTTCTGAGGGTAGTCCTGCTCAGTGACCCTTGGATTTTAGCTTTGGCTTCTGGGGTATAAGGAAAGCCCCGTGGGAGGTAGGAAAACACTTCATTGGGTCACACCTTAAGCATGACTGACTTGCTGTTGGAACAGAATTTTGTCTGAAGTCTATTATTATTATTATTATTAATATTAATGTTTCTTTACTACCTGGTAGCTGAAGGGCAGTTTACAACATATAACATTAGTTACGTGCTCTTGTAGAAAACACTGAATACAAAAATACAGTACCCTCAATTAATGGGATCTGATCCAGCATGCCTGAATTATGTTGAGTCAATAAAACTAAAAATTAACCAATTAATTTTACTTATGTTTTTTGAGTATCCCATTACATTTAAACTGAAATGCTTGACTGGGGGCAAAAAGTAATCAACTTAATTTTAATGTGGCTAATGTTTGTATTTACCTGGGAGTTATTTTTGTTGGAGTACTCACAGATATTTTAAACCGTGGCAACTTTTGAAGGGGGAAAAAGTGCGTCTTATAGAGCAAAAAATACGGTAATACCGTGGTACCTCGGCTCACGAACTTAATCCGTTCCAGGACTCTGGTCGTGACTCAAATTGGTCGTGAGCCAAGTTAAATTTCCCCATAAGATTGAATGCAAATGAGGTGAATCCGTTCTGCAACCATCTCCCCCCACCCCGAGCACGATCGCGCCTGCCTTCCCTGCACGAGCGCGACCACGATGGTGGCCATTTCCTCACCCCCGAGCACGATCATGCAGGGACGATGGGCGTGATTGTCACCCAATGCTGAGTTTGCGACCTGAGGCAAAATTTTGCCAAAATTTCTGTTTGCGACTCGATTTGGTTGTGCACCGAGGTGTTTGTGAATTGAGGTACCACTGTATCTTCCTAAACTATTTTGCCATAATTTCCATTTTGGGCATGAAGGCAAACTGCTTGGGTTGCTCTAGCCAGGAAGGGGGGAAGTAGGAAATGCCTGAGGAAGAAGCCTTGTAGGAATGCAGGGTGCGGGTGCAAACAAGCAGCTCGTGTCCTTATGTCCTGCGTAAACTGAACCTCAGCTTCAGCTTGGACATGGCACCAAATCTTTATTTGTCCTAGCCAGAGTTCAGAACCCAGACCATGCTTTGCATTTCCAAATATAAAGGCAGATCTGGTCACCTGTGCTTGCTTCTTCCTGGAGATTAGAACAGCATTAGAACAGACATGCTTATGGTTTGTCAGTTCAGCGATTAAACCAAACTAGAGTTTAAGCTTCCTATGTAAATATGGCAGAATTAATGTTTAGCATCCTCATATATTAGAATGGGAAACTTTAAAAAAGTTACTTCCTGTTTTGCATGCTTAAATAATAGCTTGTGTTAAACAAAAGAACCAACAAGCACTACAGAGTCACTAGCGCTCACTCACTCACACTCACTCTCGTGTGTGTGTGTGTGTGTGTGTGGCCAGTAGCACTTATTTGATATGTGTAGTCAGCATGACCATTTTCCCTTGATGGAAAAATCCAGGACTAAGCTAGCTTTACATTTTCTAAATTTAAAGGTTTGCAACAGGAATATAATTCAAAAGCATCAAAAAATCTTGCAGATTACAGGTTTGGTTGTCTTACTAAACTGGAAATTTAAACTTCAGGTTGGTTGTCTTAGTAAGCTGGAAATTTAAACTTCAGGCACTAATTTTTGAGAGAGTTCGGTCTGTTGCTTGAAAAATTATCTTGACGATACCAATTCTAACTTGGAAGGCCTTTCTCCTAATCCCAGATATCTGTGAGCAGGGCTGCAGTTCAGTGATAAGTGAAAGGCAGTTTGCATGTGCTTAGAGGGGTATTTGATAATTGTTTCACATTTCTACTTTCAGGGCTCTTACGCTCTGGCCAGCCTAGTTTTACTGTTGCTAGTAAGATGAAAAGTATGGAATATTAAGCCCGAGACTCGCCCTTTGCACATCAATTATATTCTGACCTTCTTATACTCTTTCAACATCTGGTTGACATCTTAGAAGCAGAATAGTAGTATAAGCTATTACTTGGCCTCTGTGCAGCTTGCTGGGCATTTCCTGAACATTTGTATTTCTTTGCCATCTGTAACACAGTTCCTGCACATTCCATACATGTATATTTAACTTCCTTCCTTCCTCAGGAAATTGGAACAGGGAATTGACAAAAGAATTCTTAAAATCGTTTGGGGCTTCATGCAGCCTGCTAAAAGGCACTAACTTACAAAAACTCCACCATGGGGTGTGTGTGTTTAAGTTCCTTGGATTTAGACAGCTTGGGAGAATAAGTGGTGCGGAGACGAGGTGGGGTCAGCTAAGTTTCTTGGCCTGCTTCACGGTGCTCTTCTCCAGCTGCCCTTCGTGCTGATCGGGGGGATTAACTTCAATCATGTCGGTCTAAAACACAAATAAAAAGTGTTGCTGTTTGAAACAGGTTTCCCATTCTCTAACTTGTGCATTTCCTGATAATACATACACACTAACTGCTTGCCATAGCGATTAAGCCTATCTAAATGAAGGTGGCTTATGCGTTGTAACTTGTTAGTTGGTATTAGTAACAGTATTTACCTTACCATGGCGTTTGAGTTGGTGCTGCCAGACTAGCATTGACTCACACGCAACACCGATTCTGTATTATTGTAGCTCTGGCCACGACTTTTGCACCACCGGTTGCTAAATTTCTCAGCCTCTTTCTCTGCAATCTGATACACATTACTCTTTCCGCATTCAGTAACAGATCACCGAGAGAAGGAGCAGAGAGAAGGCTGTGCTCTCAGAAGGCCAAGTGATGAGGAAAAGAGAAAAGTGACTTGCTTTTAAGAACATAAGTACAAGCCAGGGGTGAGCTCTGAGCTCCAAAACATCTTTTGAACCCCCAATTTTCTGCTCCAGCACCCATTTCACAGAAAGCAAATAAATTAGGCGGAGGGGCAAGTAGCATGGTCAAGAAATGGAGCACAAGGCAGTCCCGCAGGTCTGGACCTCTTCTTGCTCCAGTTTGGCAGAAGGCAAACCGGGGGTGTGCAGAGAATCACGTT